CATGCATGGGGGGTGCAAAGGGTGCATGTATGGGAGGGTATAGAGCGGGGTGCATGCATGGGGGGGGTGCATGCTGGAGGGTGCAAAGTGGGGTGCATGTAGTGCAGGGTGCATTCATGGGGGGGTGCACATGGGGAACAGTGCCAGGAGATCCCTCAGCTCAGGCTCAGGGTTGGGGCTGGAGCTTTCCCAGCCCCACCTGGCCCCTGGCGTGCGGAAGGGGACGGGGACAGGGGACGGGGACAGGGCCAGGGCAGGTGGGGGGGGTGCATGCTGGAGGGTGCAAAGTGGGGTGCATGTAGTGCAGGGTGCATTCATGGGGGGGTGCACATGGGGAACAGTGCCAGGAGATCCCTCAGCTCAGGCTCAGGGTTGGGGCTGGAGCTTTCCCAGCCCCACCTGGCCCCTGGCGTGCGGAAGGGGACGGGGACAGGGGACGGGGACAGGGCCAGGGCAGGGCGGCCCACGAGTATGGTTGACACCCGGCCCAGAGCTGGCGCCACCCAGCAGTGACCAGCGTCCTGCCCATTCAGAAGAGACTCGCCTCCTTTGCCACTTTATCCCAAGGACGGGCCTTGAAAACCTGCCCCAAATACACCTAAAACCGCCTCCTTCCTTCCCGGCATTTAACACCGCAAGAAAAGTCGGGACCGAACCGGCCGGGCGCGTCGGACTCCAGCAGCGGGTTCACGTCTCTGTTGAGCGACGAGCCCCTGCGTTTTCAAATGATTCGTCCTGCGGGGAGTGGGGGAAAGAAAACCCCAACCCCTCGTGAGCGCCTTGATGCTGAACTTCCTTCCTCGCTCTCTAGGTTTGCAAGACGAGATCCGCGAAAACCATCTCCAAAGTAGCGTATCACCAGGGAGTGGTGATAGTGAAATGCCCCGGCTGCCAGAACCACCACGTCATAGCGGATAACCTGGGATGGTTCACAGATTTGGAAGGAAAAAGGTAGGAGTCCCCGGGGCAGCGAGCCAGGCCTTTCAGCCCATCCGAACCGGGTTGAGCTCGTCGTGGCTTTGGCATGCTCTTAACCTGGTTCGTTTCAAGGAGGGTTATTGCTGGGGGGCTTCTCTGCTCCACGTGGGTCACGTTTAGTCGAGCACGACCCAGCGTGTGGCACCGAGACAGCGAGGACGCGCGCTGTATCGCAGGTGCTGCCCCAGACAGATGGTTGGATGCGACTCTTTTTGTTTCCTATGAGGGACTTATTAAATCCTGTTGCATTTCAGCAGTGTCCGACTCCCTTAAAAATTCCCACCCTCCATAATCAGTGGTAGAAATGATATCTTTTAGTAAACCAACTAGATTTTTGCAAAAAAAAGAAAGGTCTTTAATTGCAAGCTTTCAGGGACAAGCACCCTTCAGCAGGCATCGGAGAAAAGACTGTAAAAGTTCTCCTGGGTAGAAATGCAAGTTCGTATCTCATAGGATTTCACCGAGGAGTCAATAGATGGAAAACTCCTCTGGGAGGCAGTTCATAGCTGGTAAGGTGTCCCTGAGCTCTGTTGTGAGGATCTGGGATGATGCAAATGACCTTGAACAACAGCAGGAGCAGAGTCTCAGGTTTTAGGTGGTCAAAGATGCTTCCCCCTTGTGACATCGTGAAGATTTCATTTTTAAAAATCGGCTACAATTCATTATCTCCCATGTGTCAGGTATCCAGGTGTCGTTCATGCCCGACAAAGGGTGTTTGTGCCCCAAAGCTTGCAATTCGAGACTTTTTCTTCTGCAAAAATCTAGTTTGTCTAATAAAAGATATCACCTCTACCATGAGTCCTGACTGCTTTTTCCTCCAGACCATTAGGGCTACAACCCTCCATAGCTGCAGTTGCCAAATTGAAGTGTCGTAGGATGAACGTAGCTTCCCAGATAGCTGAGGTTGGGGGCAAATGTTGGGCTCGTGTTCAGAATTTAAAACGCGTATTGAGAGTAAAAACGAAGCGTCTCCACGCAGCCCCCCTTGCCTTGTCACTGTTGGTTTTTACCTTGCCTCGAAGGAATATCGAGGAAATCCTTGCGGCCAAGGGGGAGAAGGTGAGGCGTGTGGTCGGCGAGGACGCCTTGGAGCTGCTCCTGGAGAACGCAGCGGACGCAGCTCCCCAAAGCCACCCCGCAGAGGGAGACGGTGGGGGAGGCTCCCCTAAGTCCGGAGGCAGGGACCCGACCTGATCCCCGGGATGTCCCTGGGGATAGAGAGACCGCAGCGCCGCCTTGTGCTTTTCAGACATGCGTGGTTCTTGTAAATAAATTCAGCCGCACAAAAGCCTTGTCCTCCAGTTGATTTCTTAACTTGGCACTGGGCTGTTTAACCCAAGATCAGCCGCGTGTTTGTACTGGACTTGAGACCTTTCTTGTTACACACGATTGATTTTAAGACCAGATTTACTTCTGCTGCAGGCTCCTGTGCTGCTCTTTCTTTCCAAGCCTCGTTCTTCGCTAATATGGGTACGCCCAGAAGGTAAATCATCATCATCTGAACCCAGCGCTCTTTCCTGCCCAGGGCAGGGGGTCGGACTTGATCTAATAGATCCCTTCCGGCCCTAAAATCTATTAAATCTATGGTGCTGTGCAGCCCTCACCTCCATCTGCACCCAGGCACATGGTAGGGCTAGTTCCACAGGTGCTGTACATGAGCAGAAATGCTGCAAAGGGCCTGATTCTTCCCCCAGCTGTGGCTGGGCCCTTAACGTGTTTGTGCTTGCAAACCAAAGTGATCCTGCTGTAGGGAAGCACGCCTCCTGCCCCTGTTGCTTTGCTTTCTCTGCTGAATTACTTCCGAGGTGCACGTGTGTCTGTACGACCTGTTTTCTTGTGGGGAAACCAGTCCAACAGCTTGGCTCATTTGGTGTCTGGCTGCAGTCCTGCAAGGAGGGTTGGCAGGAGGAATGCAGCGTGCTGCAAGGCCTGGATTGGAGACCCCCCTTCCTCCTCCTCCTCCATTCTCCATTGGTCCCCTGCCGGGGGAACCAGCCCAAGGGTAAGTCACAAGCTGGGTGATTGCTACCGTCCAGGCAGTAGATTTGTAGTGCCTCCTCTGGAGCTGTGCTCGGTGCCTGCTAGCAAGGGTGTGCATTTACATGAAAGGCTGAAGATCGCAGGGCTGGAGGGGTATGCAAATCACAGCCTCAATTACATGTTGTAGGACCATAGTCTTGTATAAGAAGCTGGGTTTGTTTAGTAATATCTTTTATTAAACCAGCAATATTTGGGAGTGATGTTAGGCAGGCTTTCGCGCACAAAAAGCCCTTCTCTTCCCCTCTGGGGAGGAGAAAAAAACAAAAAAGACACTGCGTCTACCTGTCCCAGACCTAAAAAAGAGCATTTTGTGCATAAAAGCCTGCCTAACTGCTCCCAAACATGGAGCTGGTTTGATCAAGGCTGTTTTGTTTGATTTCTTAGACTGATACACCGCCCTTCCCAAATCCCTTGTGCCCCAGTGTCAGTGCAGGGAAGGAAAGTGTGTCTGTGCAGTGCCAGCTCGTGCTCCAGGGGATGCAGGAGGGGAAGGGGTGTTTTTTCTAGTGACGCCTTTTTTGGGACCATGGGTGTAGTTTGGAGCAGTGGGTGCATTCACAGCTGCAAGGATAAAGCTAATTTCAGCAGTGAGCAAAGCAGGGAACAGGGAGGGGCTGGTGCTGGGAGCATTAAGGGCTTGCAGCTGGTCCCTCTAAAGCCATGTTTCCCAATCAGGGTGCCTCAACATCCTCCCAGGGCCGCTGCTCGGAGGTTTTGCAGCAGAATTCACACGGCGAACATGGAGATGTCCAGCAGGAGGCTGCAGCGTTGCGCGCGTCGGGGCCCGCGGTGCTCTGAGCTCTTCTCAAAGGAAGAACATCGCTAACGTGGAAGAGAGAAGCAGGACGGTGGCGGCTGAGGCTCCCCTGCTTTACCTGTGCCAGGTTCGGGTGTTCGGTCTGTGTTGTGTCAGGGTTGAGGGTAGTTTGATGAGAAGTTTACGTGATGGTTGTATGGGATGGTTTGGATAGGGATGACGCTGCCTCAGGCAGGGGTTTGGACTAGATGGGACCTCCAGGGGTGGGGAAGGGGGGAGATCCTTTCCAGCTCGGTGATAAGACTGGCATGGACTGGGTCTGTCTTGCCCAATCTCCTGTGTCCCGCAGCAGCATTGCAGATGCTCCCGTGGGGCAAAGGAACACAAGGATGTTCTCTTAAACTCTTCCTTGTGATGGCCCCTCCTCGTCTGGGGCAGGCAGTCGCTAATAAATCCCTCTTCGCCATTTAGTATTTTCTGAGCCCTTCTCCCCCCAAAAAGCATCTGTCTTCTAACGGGACCAGGCCTGGCTTGCTTAGCCTCTCCTCATCTGGATGCCCCTCCCCGCAGCCTTGTCGCTCAACTCTGCATCTTCTCTCCTCCTGCACCAGAACCGCTCAGGGGTGTTTCGGGGTCATGAGAGCAAAGAGTGTGGGCACTAGCCAGGGGAGCTGGAGTCTCTCCAGTGCAGGGGATGTGAGCTGGGGACGGCACTGGCAGCTGGGGAAGGTGTGCGCTGCAGGGGGTCTTGCCCCTTCTGGGGGAGGCAGAGAGGAGATGGCTACCAGGGCAGGGAGATGGGGTGGCAGCAGCCTGGTAGTGCTGCTCATCCAGCTCCTCCTGGGGCACAGGTGGTGTTCCCAGCGCCATGCTGGGGAACAGGCTCCCTGCTCAGTTGCTGCCCATGCCCACGCCTCCCAGCACCCTGCCTCCACACACGGGCACAGGGGTGATCCAGTTCAGGAGCAGTGTAGTGGCTCGGGACCCCCTTGGCCAGGCACGGCCAGGAAACAGTCCTTCCTGTCCAGCACGTGGGTCTGGGCTTGGCCAGGGATGCCCGGAGTCATCCAACAGTCGGCCACTCTCCTGAGCCGCAGCCCAGTGCATTACCCAGCCTTTCCCAGCCAGGGAGGGAGCGGAGAGGGGACGGAGCCAGGAGTCCTGTCTCCCCATCTCTCTTCTTGCCTGCCCTTGCTGTGACAGTCGGTGACTCCCTTCCTCAGTGCCACCCTGCATGCCCAGGTCGCTGGCTCTGTGCTGGGTTGGGCCCACCCAGCACTGGAGGAGGGGGCCGCAGGGTCCGATGCGCCGGCTGCTGTTGCAAACACTGCCTGGGCCTCCCTGGCCCTCTCCCTCCCGGAGCCCAGATAATGGGGGCAGTCTGGTGTAGGTGGGCATCCAAGCGTTATGTTCCCATTGGCGCCAGCTGGGGATTTGACCCAGTCTCCCAGGGGCACTTTCCACGTCCGTGGATGTCACCAGCCCAGGACACGCTGGGAATGCCAGGCTCAGCCAAGCGACGGGCGCGAGGTCTTGGGGGTCCGGGAGAAGCCCTAAGCCTGCCCGGCTGCAGCTTCAAGGCCCCTTCTAGCCCAACAGCGAGCACTCGCCCTGGGCAGTCGTGTCCTGCTGCCCGGCTGCAGCTGGATGACACGGGGCAGTTAGGGAGCGACTGTGCGGGGCACGTGGAGCAGCCCTGGCTGCTTTGCTGCAGGAGACGGCACCTCCCGAGTGCTGCTGTTCCCGAGGGCCGTGGAGCACAGAGCAGGGTGGATGGAGGGAGTCAGTCCAGTGGTGCAGCGGTGCTCCAGGGAGGACCTGAGCCTCTGCCAGGCTGCTAGGGGCACCTGTCTCCGCAGCTGCCTGGTGCCCCTGGCTCCAACACCTGACAAATGCCTTCTCTCCCACCTCCACAGGTGTTTGAAATGCAGCCTAAGCTGGCCCTGGGCTGCCCCCAGACCCTGCTCCAGGATGGGATGCCCTGGCCAGCAGACACAGGGAGCAGAAGTGCTACAGAAGGAGGAGGCACTGCAGCCTCCCGCGAGCCTGCTGGGAGGAAGCAGCACGACCAGCCCCTCCGCGGAGGACATGTCCTGGGGAGTGCGGCAGGTGAGTGGGCGTCAGCATGGGCTGGGCAAGCCTGGGGGCTGGTGGCAGGGGTGGCTGGGTCCTGGGAGGGTTGTGCGTCTGCAACACCTTGCACCCAGCACGGCTCGCCCCAGCCAGCTAGGCAGCCCCTCAGGCCTGCCCACCCTGCTCTCCCCTGGCAGGCAAGGCTCCCTCCTGCACCCAGGGCGCTTGGCAGCTGTCAGTCCTTGGGAATGGCAGACGGGGAGTGGGACCTAGCAGCCCTTGTGGTGCTGCCATCGCAACCTGGCCAGACCTCTGCATTTGCTGAGACTGAGGCCCAGTCCCTGCCCCCAGGGCAGCAGCTTCAGGCAGGGCCGAGTCCTTGGTGCCCTGCCTCCTGCACCATGATGTGGGCTGGCTGGCTTTTGCTGGACCCAGGCTCCCCTCTGCCAGCTTCCCCAAGGGTGGGATGGAGCTTCTTGGCCCCCGCAGATGGGCCAGCCTGTGGCCAGCTCCTTTGGGACCCGCTGAAGTCCCCCAGCCCAGACCTGGTGGGCTGTGCCTTGCATGGCATGCACCCAGCCCCTGCAAAGGGTCATGTGGCTGGATGCAAAGAGGGGGGCTGCAATGCAAGGCCTGGTGCCTGGGCTGGCTGCCTGATGTGCCCCAGCCTTGTGCTGCCTGGCTAAACAGATTCCTGTCAGCCCCCCTCCCACGCCCGTTAGCAGCGGTGCACGTGGCCAGCCCCTGCTACATGTGACCCGCAGGCTGGAGCAGGGACACTTCCCTCGGCGCCACACACAAACACCACCTGCTCTCCACTGGGACCGGCTCATTCCTAACGATGAGGGACAGCGAGGTGAGAGGCTCCCTGAAGGGCACAGGCTCCCGGCTCCGTCGCTGCCGAGTCTCGGGCTTGTGACATCTGTGCCCAGACCCCTCGCACGCATCTCCCCGCCCCGAGTGCGCCAGGCTGCGGAGTCCAGCTGTGCCCTGGCCTGAGAGCTGCTGCCCAGCATCACTTGCCAGACAGCCCGGCACCCCCAGGAGCGCCGGGTGCCCAAGCCAGCGAGGGCAGACAGAGATCCTGCAGCATCTCTGTGTCAGGAGCGTTGTCCAGCATGGAGAGCTGGGGCTGCTGTCTGTGCACCCCTCCAGACAGCTGTCGGCAGCATGGGCCAGATGCTGATCGCTGCCACCGCTCGCTGCTCCTGTCTGCACTGACGGGTAGAGATGCTGCAACAGCAGTGTGCTCCATCAAGGACTCGGGCTCCCTGGGGGACTCTCTCTCTTTGAAGCAGGCTCATGGGCTGCTTCTCTGCCCCTGGGGCTCTCTTCCAGCTCCTTGTCTGCCCCTGGGACTGAGACTTCCTTCGACAGCCTTTGCCGACCCCTTGGAGGCAAGAACTGTTTCCCTGAGACCTGCATTGGCAGGCAGAGGCCTGGAGTCAGGGCAAGGGCCAACGTGTCCCCTTAACCAGCTGTTTAAATGCCGTAGCTTTTCTTAGGGCTTTGGGGTCCCACTGGCCCGAGCCGGCCCCTGGCTCCCTGCAGCCTGGCCAAGGCACCTGCTCCAGCCCAGCAGGCTGAGGCTGGTGAACCCGAGAGGGACCAAAACACGAGAGCAACCCTGAAGAAGCTTGAACCACAACTATTTATTAAGCACAACTCCTCCCCACCCCCGTGGTGTTGATTTCTATATATTACTTCATTTGGCAGCTTGCTTTTGTTCCCTCCCCCACCACCCCAGTAAAAAACAAAAACTGAAGTACCTTCTGGGTTGGAAACTCCCCGTTAAAATGACATTAGCAAATGCACATGTAAAAAATAAATACGCTAATACATTCAAGTATATGGCGAATCATTAACACTGCTGGGAGCAGAGGAACGGCTTCCAGTTCACCTCTGGGGCTGGAGCTGTGTGGACGTGGGGAGGGAGGGCTACCCCCGGCCACATCGGGCCGCGTTGTTGGACCCTCCCGGCCCCTGGCGAACGCAACGTAGTTCGGTACCTACGTGGACTGGCGGGCCGGGTTTAGCTGGTCCTGCGGTATGGCTCAATCGTCCACGCCAGCCTGCAGGCGTTTTCTGCAGGTCTCGTCGGGGGAAGGCGAGTCTCCAGCAAGCCTTGTGAGGGGAGGTAACATCTGCTATTGGATCAGTTTTACTGTTGGGAGAGATGCAACACGTGCCCGGGACATGCACAGGCCCTTGCTCTGGTCTGGGAAAGCAGCAGCTCTGCCTGAGCTCAACTTCAGCCCCGTTGTGTTCATTGTCTCTCCGAGGAGGCAGAAACGTGCCGCCTGCTTCTGATTTAAGTGATCGGAGCAGTAACAGGTTGCTACAGCAGACGCCCTTCATCCCCCTTGGGTCCTGTTCATTTACAGAGCTCTTAACCGGCTGCGGAGCACGGTGACCTCGGAGGACGGAGCGGGGAAGTCCTGACGAACCGCACAACCGCCTGTCTCGCGTCCGCGGCTGATGAACATTTCTGCTCCCAGACTCGTTTCCAAAGGCGTTGTGCGGGTTTCCTTGGAGGACAAGGACTGGAGGTAGGAGGTGGAGTTGTGGCTGCTGTGGGCTGTGCTCTCCCACCACGGACACAATTGCCACGTCCCTTTCCTGGGAGCTTGTTCTGGAGGCGGGGGTGATCAAGTTGCACCCACACACTTTCCACGAAGGCCCTCGGCGCTGTTTGTGATCGACGTGTTGAAGCACCGTGGATTCGGGTGGCTTTATGGGTCAGGACGGTGGTAGATCTGCACTGGCAGGTTCTGCGCTTGGTATTTAGGCAGGGTCTTTGTCAGTAGCAACTCTTTTGTTGAGCAGTGTAGACCAAGAGCACAACCTTGCCGGGCTCATCGAGCGTCAGCTGGAATCACTAGATCTCTTCTTCCTCCAGTCGAGGAAACGCAGGGGCGTGCAGTCAGTGGTAGCTGGGGGTTGGTGCAGGGTTTCCATTCAAAGAAGTGAGCCGAAGTGTCGTGGTTGGATGAAGGCGAGCACATTCAGCAGAGGTCTCTTGTGTCTTGCAGAAAGCCAGCTCTTTGCATAACGTGGTTTGAAGGAGGTTTCTATGAATCCCGGTCGCTCGCTGCTGAGGGCACCGCGGCTGGATGTGGTGGGTCTGCTAGGGCTCCCTCATCTGCTATGGCGGGAGCAGATTTCAAGGGTGAGGAGGGTCTTCCTGGAGTCAACGCGATGCCCGTTCGCCTTGCCGATGAGTCCCTTGCAGCCGGGGGTAACTGCAACTCCCGCCTGATCACTGCTTTGTTGGGCTGCACGGCCTTTCTTCCCAAAGGGAACAGGCTGCAGGGGTGGTTGTCTGCTGGGGATTTTGCTGTTACAAACCCACTTTCCTCCTAAATCAGACGAAGGCACAGTTCTGTCCGTGGGGAGACGTAGTCAAAGGTTGTCGCTTCTGGTCAGTGGTGGGACGGCAGCCCGAGGTGCTTTGGCTGTGGTCAGGGTCATCTCCATCTGCACCGTTAGGTACCACGAGAGCAACCGCTCTCTCAAGAAGCGGTGCCTTGGGACGGGGAGCCAGTCGAGCCAGGCAAAGTGCTCAGGAAGGAGTTGTCACCAACCATCACTTCCAATTTTGACTGTCGTTAATAAAATGGGCTTCAAGGGGAAAGCTCGTTCCGTCCCAGACCTGAGCAAGGGCATTTCTGTGCCTGAACACTTGTCTCCCGTCACTCCCAACTCTAACAGATCCGGTAGCAGATCAGCTATTATTACCTTACCTCTCACTTCTCGGTCTTCCCCCACCCCTCCAGACAGGACCTCATTTAGGCTAAATGCCCGGCTGCTTTAGACGCGCCGTCCTGGCTGATCTGGGGGGGATGCAAAGAGCCCCCTGCCTCGCTGCTGGGTGGGAGTTTTCCTCGCACCTCTTGCCAGCCATGCCCATCTAGCCACGCTGACATTTTTCACGGACAGGTTAGTTTGGAGGAGAGGATTCTTCCTTATGAAACTGTTGGCAAAACCGCAGGAGCCAAAAGTTGGGGGTTTGCCAAGAGGCTAGCGGCAGGTTCTTCCTCTAAGGCGAGGCTGGCCCTGGCCTGTCATTTTTACTCTTCCCCTTGTTTTTTTCCTACACAGACAGATCTGGGGCCTGACGCTCAGGCTGGACCTCCAAGTCTGAGCTCCCAGCTTGGGCTGGCCCAGAAGGGCTGAAACGCAGCAGGGACCTCAACCCTCCTGCTGCTGCTCAGACCTGACCTGCCCTTTGCGTAAGATCCCCAGGGCTAGAAAAGGAGACCCCCTGCGCCCTGCAGACCGCTCTCGGCCGACAGAAAGGGGACGGCTTCTCCTGATTGTCTGGCATAGCTGGGTGGGGGGCTTTAAAAGACCAGCGGAGGAGGAGACGGGCGGCAAACAGCTCCTGCTGGAGCCAGCCAGAAACGCCCCGGGGTCCGTGCGGTGCTGAGCACCAGCCGAGGCACGGCCTGGCACGTGCCTGCCCTAGGCAAGGGCTTCAGCTACCCCGGCAGCAGAAGGGTTGCCTGGCTCTTTTGCTGGTGAATGCACAAGGCTCAGGTCATGCTGGACAGACTGGTGTTGAAGCGCAGGGTGCTGCACAGCAGGCTTTGGCCCCTGCTACCTGGCACCCCTCGGCACCCCTCTTGCTGGTCACACTGGCCCCAGCTGGGAGACACGGCCTCCAGCCAGGCTCCTGTAGTCTGCCCCTGCAGCAACAGCACTGCACAGGTGGCAGGGCCTCGTCTGGGGGAATAACTCATGTCTCTGGCTGGGCCGCTCTCTACGGGCAGCTTAGAGATGGCACGGGCTATGGGAACGGCACGCACAAGCTCTCCCCTGGCTGAACGGGTCTCAATTTGTGCCAAGGGAGCTGTGCATGGCGCCGGACAGCCGTGGCCATAGGGACTGGACCTCTGCCCATGCGCCCCATGCTGTCACGGGGCAGGGACGGCTCCACATCCCTCACGCACACGCCAGGAGGGGAAGAGGAAGGATCCCAAAGTAAGGAAAGCGAGGGGCTGCAGACAGCACCTCCAGCCTGGAGCACGCTCACGAGGGGCCGAGCAAGCTGGATATCTCTTCTAAGACCTGGCCCCTTGCGGCTCCTCTCCATCCACCGACGCAATGCCCTGGTGCTCCACGCCGGCTGGTGGACAGTGCCTCAGCAGCAGCACAGTCCTGGGTTGCCTAAGAAAAGCCTCTGCTAAAACCCCTCTCCGCTGGCCTGTGCCAGCATCGCTGCCTCCGAGGACCCTCCAGGCCCTCCCGCCCCAGCGTCTCCGAGGCAACGTCCGTGCCAGAGCAGGCACCCTCAGTTTTTGGACAGACGACACGGGGAGGGGACGGGACCCACCCAGCCCAGGCTCTTAGCTGGAGCTGGGCGGCGGCGGAGGCTGCGGCTGCGGCTGCAGCTCCTCGGGTACCGCCTCCTCCTGGGCTGTGGCCAGATCCACCCGCTGCTCGTCCATGCGCTTGGCCTGGACCCGCTGGATGAGGCTGAAGAAATCTTCGTCCGGCATGGTGGGGCCACGGGGGATGGTGTCCGGCGGGGCGCAGCGCTGGTCATCGATGCGGGACGACTGGGGGGAGGGAAAGCAAGGCCACGGTTAGGAACGGAGGGCGTGGGGGCTGCCTATGCTTTCTCCTGCTGCCTCCTACAGCCACCGTGGCCTTGGGGATGCTCCAGGAACGGGGGTTGTGGACCCCTTCATAAGCCCAGCAGGGAGGGGGCTTTTTGCTGACCTAGGTGGGCTTCAGACTGGCTGTTTGAAGTCCCCACCCCAGCCCCACTCGTGAGCCTCTGCGCTGACAGCTCGAGCCCTGGTGCATCTGCCCCAAGGAGGCCAGGACGTGCCAGCTTGTACCCCCCTGGCCTGAGTGCCACCCCCAGCACCTACCTGGCACTTCATGAGCATGTTGAAGAAGTCATCCCCCGGCTCCTGGGCATCGCCCTCCACGCGCAGGTGCCCCAGGTTGTTGTGCGTGATGCGGAGGCCGGGCAGGTTGCCCACGCTGGCACGCTGGTCGTCCAGCCGGCGGCTCTGCGAGCTGGCGATGAGGTCGAAGAACTCCTCCGTCTGCGGGGATGCCATGAGAGAGGACTGCGCTGCAAAGCAAAGAGTGGGAGAGCAGGTCAGGGCCAGTCGCCGAGGGGCTGGGGGCTGCGGTGCCATCCTGCTGCTGCACTGCTGCACACTCACCCTGTCCAGCAGTGCCCAAGGGGCTTAGGCACCCCCCTAACACAGGCCCATGTGGGGGGGAGGGTGGGTATCAGGGCTTGGGGGTGCAAGCACGGCAGCTCCATTTGCAACCGGGCTGGGGTTTCGGTTCCCAGCTCCTGCAGCAGGTGTCTGGCCATGCAGCTCCAAGGGCTGGTAGGTAATTACTAGCCTCTATCAAAAGCCCAAGTAACTCAAATCCTCTGGCAGCTTGTCCTGCCAGGCCCAGTACCACCATGGCCTCTGCAAGCATCCTGGCTGCCCTGGCCCCTGCAGGAGCCTGGTTCTTCTCAGCGCTCGCAGAGCCAGGCCTCCCCTCCGCCGGTTGCGTGCAGGGGCGGGGGAGCCAGGAGACTGACTGATGTATCCGGTCCCAACTCAAGCCCATTCCCTTCTCAGTGCCCCATGCTCCCACCTGCCCCCAGGGTCCAATCCATCCCACCTGGGGCCGTGCCTCTGGCATGCTCGGGTTCCCTAAACCCAGGAGGCTGCGGGAGACTTTTTTCCTCTCTTGGTGCCATTCACGCGTCTCTGTTTCCCTCCTGAACATTGAAACGTTCCAGTAACAAAGCAGCAGAGAGCAAATCTCCCAAGTTTTGCTTTGGTGTTAAAAAACCCCTAAAAAGCAACCAGTCCGGGTGCACAATCTCCTTGCCTGGACTTGACTTACCGTGCTGGTCCCATTTTCCTTGGACTTACCCACCAGGTTTCCACTCCTGGTGTTGTTCTTCGGGGCTGTTCATCTCGCGGTGTGCATGAGGCTCCTGCAGGTCTCCCTCCCTTCCCCGCCTAAGTACTGCACTACGTGGGCCGGGGAAGCACCAGGCAGAACCCACGAAGCACAAAATCCCCTGTTACGCTTGCATTGGAGCGGAGGTGAGCACACGACTGGCCAGCCCAGGTAGCTGGACTAGCGGAGATTGCTCAGACAGCCTTCATCAGGCTTTTAAAAGCTCAGGGCTGGCCGGACAGCCCTTGCTGCCCCGTCAGCTCTCTGACAGCATCCTCCTTCGTGGTGCCCGGTGCTGGAAGGCAAGCGGCAGGCACGGCAAAGCCCAGATTTCGAAGGCACGTGCATTTTCTTAAGCCAAAGATATCATTTCTCTTGTGGTTTTCCTGGCGCTGGGGTACTGAACCTCGGCCGGCTTTCTTTGCTGCAGCCTTGCAGGCGAGGAGAAGCTGGGACCCCTGCCGAAGCCCCGCTCCCAGAGCCAGGAGATACTGGGAAGATACCGCAGGACTCGGGGCACCCTCATGAGCGCCAGCACCCCTAAGAAGCGTCCCTCCCCGCCGCCGGCAGCCCCGTGTACTTACATATTCTTTCTTCCAAGGCGGGCACGGGGGTAGCAGCAGCCTCGGCGGCCTCAGTTTGGCTCTCCTCGAGCGGGCAGCGCTGGTCGTCCATTCGGTTGCTCTGGAACTTGCTCAGCAGGTCAAAGAAACAATCCTCGTCCGACGGCGTCCGCGGGATCTTCTGAGAAGAGGGAAGAGGCATGATATGAAGTGAGCCAGGGGGACGGCCTGTGTCCGGCCTCTCCCTGAGCGCTCCCCAGCACATCCCCAGACTCAAGGCCCAACCTGCCCACCAGCATCCCGGCCGTGCCCCCGGTCGGCTCTGCAGCATGGGATAGTCCGGGGTATCTTGAGTCTCCGTGGGACTCTACCAGCCATGGGCTAGCGCAGCGTGGAGGCTGCTCTAAGCTGCCCCACCAGCGCCCATTTCCACCCCCCAGCAGGTCCCTTGCACCAGGGTGGGCGTGACGGCAGCTGTAAGCCCTGCCTCTGGGCCTGCAAAGGGATCACCCCATGCCTCCAAGTGCTGGCACACAGCAGCACCCCCTGCCCACCCCATGGAGGCCCCAGGGTGGGGAGACAAGCCAGCCACTTCACTGCCACCCAGCCCCACTATCTTACAGGGGGCCTTCCCTGGGCTGGCGCCATCCCAGACTCTGCCCCCTCTCCTGGCTCTCGTGCCAGTCTCTCATTTTGCACCGCCTCGCCAGCCACCGGTCACCTCCCGCCAGCTAAATTTAAACTCCGGTGCAGACCGCACGGCAGGAGCGGCAGCGCTTCCTCCTCCGGCTCCTGCTTCCTCTGGAAGCCGCTGGTCGCCGTCATCCCGGAGCTGCCACTAAATTACAGCCCTTCAGGAAACCAGGCCCTGCCCCAAATAAGCACCTTGCCCCAGACAGTGCTATATTTAGGCCGTGCCGGGTCATGGAGTTGCTGCTGAAACCGCCTGCAAAAGCCCCGGGTTGTGGCCAGGCAGAGGTGACCAGAGAGCCACCACAGGGCACGCGGGGGGTCACAGAGGAAGCGTGGCTTCCCCTCCTTGGCTCAGGCAGCCGCTGGGGGGCTCCCTGCTGGACAGTGCAGAAGGGGAGGAAAAACGAGAGTGGGGTGAGAGGCATCTGCTTGGTGCTGGGAGCATCCCTGCGGGGCAGGGGAGCCTGGCACCCCCCGCTCAGGCCAGGCAGACCCCACCCCAAACTCACGGGGTAACAATACAGAGAGGAGCCTAACCCCACATCGCCCACCCCGGTGCCAGGCAGCAGCAGCTCGCACAGTGCCAGTCAGTGGTGTGGAGGGGAGCTCAGCACACAGGACGACGGGTCAGGGAGATGGACAGACATAGAAAAAAAGATGGTTGGCTGGGTGATTTTATATATATAGATGTATGGATATAGGATACATGGATAGATGGCTGGATAGATATACAGATGTGTGTGTGTGTGTGTGTGTGTGTAGATATGTATATATAAAAACACAGCTATGTATATATAGATACGTGGATAGATGGACGGATGTATAGATATGCAGGTGTGTGTGTGTGTGTATTTTATATATATATATACAGATATGTATATATAAAAATATACAGCTCTGTGTGTGTGTGTGTGTGTGTATAAAAATATATAAAGATACATGGATAGATGGACGAATGTATAGATATACAGCCGTGTATATAAAGATAGATGTATGGATATATCATGGATAGATGGATGGATGTATAGATATACAGATGTGTGTGTGTGTGCGTGTGGATAGATGATGGGGGGATGGCTACCCTCCGAGGACCCAGCGAGAGCCGCAGAGGGGTAGATGAGTTTGGTCGCGGTCAGGGGCACAGTCGGGGATGCACCCTGGGAGTCCCGTTTCCCTCACGATGCTGCAGGGAGAATATTACCCACCTAAGGAAGAGGCACCTAGAGACACGGCCCTCCTGAGACTGTTACAGCCTGTGAGCCCCGCTGCATCCCAGCCATCTCCCTGCTCACACCTCCCCAGTTGCACCCGTCAGCCTCAGGCTGCAGCTGCCTTTGAAAGCAGCCAGTGCACCGCAGTCCTGCAGTGGCCAAGGAGACAGCGGACAAAGACCGGTGTGCATTCGTGGTCTCGGAGCAGCAGACTCCCCAGGCAGCCAGCCCCTCCAGCACTGCTCCTGGAAGCCATACGGGAGGTGACCGTGTTGCACTGGAGGGAGAGGACCAGGGAGAGCCAGGCCCTTGGGGCTGCCTCGAGCTTTACTGCGTGGGTTCTGCATTGCACCTTACGGAGCCCGTGCCCTGGGCGTCTGTCTTGCCTGGCCACAGCACACTGTAGGCCACCGGGGATCTCCTGCCCGAGCCCATGAAACGCCCTCCAAGACAGAGCCTCTGGGCCACGTTTCGAGGGGCTGGAGCTGTGCCACGGAGCGAGCTGTGCTGACGGGGTTAAAGCCACGTGCCGGCTTCAGCAAATGAAGGGAAATCATTTTCTTTTCTGCTAAGCAAACCAGATGAGATGCACTTGCCTGCTATTTAGGGCATCATCAAAATTAGCAACGGGGCAGGCAGTGGAACATTAGCAATCTGGGAGCCGATCGGGGCGGGAGGGAGAGGGAGAAGAAAAAAAAAACCCCTCACCTCTTCCTTGCACTGAGCTGCTAATAAAACAGTGTGTTGGAAAGAGCCTCTGAACCAATAATAGCTGCACCTGGAAATCAAAGCTGGCCGGGGCTCGAGCTGCTGATGTGCTGCATTTATTACCCTTCTCCCACCTCAGGTTGCCTGACCTACATTTCATGCCGGAGGAGAAATGCTGCTCTCATTCATGCCCAGCCCGGCTGCAGTGGTATTGGGTCAGCGGGAGCAACGGCAGAGCCGGGCAAGGACGTCTTGGGCAAAAGGACAAGGGGTTGTGTTAGGAAGCGAGCTCTCGCAGGCTAGCGATCGCGGCCGAGCGGCACGAAGGCACGCGGCTGCTCTCCTGGCCTAAGCAAGCCACGCGGCTGCCCGGTGGAGCTGGAGCCCATCAGTGGGGGTCCCAGGCGCTGCCCCCGGGTGTGACAGCCACGAATCAGCCCTCGCTTCGCAGAGCAGTGACAAATGAGACCGCGCTCCCCCGGGGGGCTCCAGCAAGGAGCCTGTTGCCGAAAAGTCCTTGCCTGTTCCCCGACGACCTCTGCGAGGACAGCGGGCAGGGAGATGAGTAACGGCCCCTGCAGGCGGGAGCGGGGCCCGGCCGAGCGGCTCATCATTCCTCCGCCGAGCTTGCACCTGCGGCCCTGCGCGGCCCCGGGGAAGCGTCGCTGAAGAGCTGCCCAGAATCGATTCGGGGACTGGAACGGGGAGGAGGAAAGCAAAGCGCCTCTTGCAGCGGGTCCCCAGGCGCATGCTGCAGCCGCCCAGCGCGCCTCTGCGGCAAACTTCGCTTCCTCCTTCACCCAGCTCCCCACCGCAGCATCCACCCAGGCACTGCTGGAAACGCACCTTGCGTCTCCCGCCCTGGCGCGCCGTTCGCCATCCCCGTGGCGTTGCTCAGAGCCAGTCTGTAGCACTGGGGAGAAGGAAATGTCGCGGCCCCCTTCTTGGGGATAACAGCCCGCTACTGCTGCCAGCCGATGGGGCTACTCCAGGAGGCCTGCGTTGCAGCGTGCGAGGTGCTGACATCTGAGCAGCAAGGCCTGCAATCGGTGAATTCAGAAGTGTTGTCTTCTTCAACCCCCTCACCTGGGAAACTTTTGAGACTTGTCTCCCATAGACACGGACATCGTATTGGGGCAGCAACAGTGCCCAGAGGTGGGAGGATGGATGTAGAGATGGATGGATATATATAGACAGATGGATGGCCGGGTCCGCTAGCCCTACTGGAGTGCGTCCAACTAAAGCCTCCGACTCGCCGCAGGTGTATTTATTTTCCGCATTCCTCCTCCTCAGCTACCCCCAGCCCCCCGGATGCCGTCGGCATTCTCCCCTGCCAGCTGTGGCACAGCTGTTCTGCTAGGAGCGGCTCCCCAGCTGGAAGCCGTAAGCCAGAAGAGGTCACTTCCCGGCCCCCTGGGCCGAGTGTCAGTAATGGGAGATGGGGCTGTTGACACTGTCTGGGGACTCTCCACGTGGTGCGTCAGACACAGCAGTGTCCGTGGCATTCAGAGCCTGGCTGGACGCCCGCTGATGTTGTCTCAGCGTCGCTGGACTGGGCCTGTAGTGTCTGGCTTGAATTTCTGAGACAGGCTCCATCCTCTCCTTTCCCAAGTGGTTATTTTCACTCTGGAGACTTGGGGGACAACTGGCTCGGGCCTGGCTCTGCATCTGTCCCGCAGCACGCAGGGTCCTGCCTTGCAGAGCCGGCTGGGACTGCCTGCTCTCCGACTCTCCAGCCCGCTATTTAGGAGAGCTGGAGCGGAGCTGCCAAGCCCGCTGTTCCCAGGGAAAGGGCATGGAGGGTGCACGCCTCTCCTCCTGCCCGGCCGGTGGACCCGAAGGGCACGGACTTCACCCCTGGGTTGCCCGGAGTCTGAAGGTCTGGGGAAAAGATCACAAATTCTCCTCCTGCCATGCAGATGTGGAGAAGGGACCCGATGGATGGGGCAGGGATGCACGGTGGTCAGAGCAGGGTGCCAGGGAGCTGTCCTCTCCTCTCCATCAGCGAGAGGAGACTGGTGGAGCCAGCGAGGAGGAAGAAGCCATTCTCCGGCTCCGCGTCCCGGCTCCCAGCCTCGAGGAACGACATTTCCCTGGGGAGCCACGGCTGCTAATCAGCGCGCAGGGGAGGCTGGCTAATGAAACCCCGAGAGTCGGACTCATTTACCTGAAATAGGCTTCCCTGATTTGAAGGCAGCCAGGCTTTTGCATAATGTTTTCCCAAGTGATCGGCAGGCTGTTTAACCCCGTTTGGGAACCAGGAGGGAGCCAACGGCAGGCGCTGGCCGGGTTGATGTGCAGCCTGGTCGCTGCCTCGGTCTCCCCCGAGGGCTGTGCAGAGATGCCACCCTCCGTCTGCGGCTCTAACCAGGGGCTCGGCTCGTCTGAGGAGCCCGTCGGGAAGCCCAGGGCTGGGGAGAGATGTGGAGCTTCTCCATCCTGGTGCCCAACCCCAGGGGGAGAGGAGTGAGGTGGATGCCCCGTCCCTGCAAAACCTGTCCTTGCTGTTAGCATGGGGATAACGAGGCTTTAAGGGCCTGGTTCAACCCCGGTGTTTAAGTGACTTGAT